GCATTTTGTCGATAATTTTTACAGAAATTTTCCCAAGTATGGTAATTGCTGACGTATTTCGCAATGAAATTAGGTGAATATTAACAATCTGATCAATCCGGATTTAAAAGTGTATTAAAATACCTTTTTGGGCCAAAAAAGGGTACTTTTTATCGGAATGCTGGTTCGCAAAAGTGTGTGTAAATTAGCATAAACGGAATTCCGCGTTTTTCAGAAAGTGTCATTTAAAAGTGTATTTAAATCTTTTTACCGGAATGCCGGTTCACAAAAAGTGTACATAAACAGCATTTTGCGTTTTTCAGAAAGTATCATTTAAAAAAGTGTATTAGAATTGTATTTTAATACACTCTTTTGACGCCTCTGGCGCGCCATATATTTACAAATAACACGAAAATTACACACATGTTTTTTTCAAAACTAAAACAATAAGACATTAAAAATTTGAGACATAATTATTATGTATAATTTGTACAATTAATAAATTGAATGTGTCCAGGTAATGTAATTCTCAAAAAAAAAAAAAAAAAAAAAAAAAAAAAAAAAAAATCAAACATCGTGCATTATCAGAAATAAAATCAAACGCAAATTAAGCCTTTTCAATGTCATAAACGATTCGGCTTATAAAGCATGTACATCTCAAGATTAAGCTAATATGGAATACAATTTTTATTGCAGATAGTGAGCAGAATATATTTTTTTTTCTGATTTATTCAAATTTCAGCAGCGTTTATGATATGAAAAGCACATCCATTTTACATTATTAAGCATATTGTTATTAAAAGTCACAATATTATAAGCAATTATCTTTGACATTGCGGTGGTGTTATTTTTATAAGACTCCTAGAATGACTACTAAATTTCTGTTCGCAGTTTATAACAAGTAAACTATATGCTAATTGCAAGTAAAATATTCCAGACATTCAAAACTACCCAACTATTTGATAATTTGGGTAATTTGAATTGTACAAAATGGAACAAACTTGGCGACAATAGTAACATTTTCTTACAGTTATTAGTGCCCGATTTGCCAACAAAAGTAGCTTTTATATGTTATCAACATCAACTCCGACTATCTACTAATTTGATATGTTTATAAGCATCCTAAAGAACTATCAAATGGTAGCTTATCATTGGGATGCTTTAGATATGGTATAATGCTTGAACGCTTTCAAAGGCTGAACCAACAATTAAATTTATACTTTTCAATCTTGTATATTTATCTACGGTTTATATTTTCACATGACTTGTTTTTAGGCTTATTAAGAATATTTGACAGTCGATACAATTATATGCTGTACACTGTCAATATACAAATACGCTAATAATTAATATTAAGTAAAATTTATTATCCAATATGAACGTGTACACGGATAATACACGTACATTACCAACTTAAATTACTAACATGATATTAATGTATGGTCTAAATTTATCTCATAATAAACAGAAACATGCTAATAATGGAAGTTCAAAATAGTTCCTTCTACTGGGATTGGGCAAAGTACTCTGATGGACTGGGCTCCCAACCCAGGATAATATGTGGTGACACCAGAGCCAGTGAGAGTAAGGTTTGCACAGTTTGAGTCACTGTAAAGTTTGTAACTAACATTTTTGTCAGTAATAACCTTTTTTATGGGATCTTTATCGATGCTGACACAAGTATTATTTTGAACATTGATTACTTGGGTAGAGTTAGCACATTCGAGTTCTAAGAACAGAAAATTTTTTATTACTACAAAAGTACCTTTAACTCATGAGCAAACTCTTACAAATTTTATGTTTACTTACGAACAGTACTACATTGTGTCGCTGGTGTCGTTACCGCTGGTGCTGTTGCCGTTGGAGTTGATGCCGTTGGAGTTGATGCCGTTGATGCCGTTGGAGCTGATGCCGTTGATGTCGTTGGAGTTGATGTCGTTGGAGTTGATGCCGTTGAAGTTAATGCCGTTAAAGTTAATGCCGTTGGAGTTGATGCCGTTGATGCCGTTGATGCCGTTGATGCCGTTGGAGCTGATGCCGTTGATGTCGTTGGAGTTGATGTCGTTGGAGTTGATGCCGTTAAAGTTGATGCCGTTAAAATTGATGCCGTTTGTGTTGATGCCGTTGGAGTTGATGCCGTTGATGTCGTTGAAGTTGATGCCGTTGAAGTTGAAGTTGATGCCGTTGAAGTTGATGCCGTTGAAGTTGATACCGGTGGTGTCGATATTTGAGCATAGGTGCCAGCGGCCAAACTGGCAATCAAGAATACAAGGAATACGAGAGTTGATTGGAATTTCATTTTTTTTTGCTTGTGAATAGGTTTAACGATATTGAATTGTGTGGTAAATGTACTTGATTGTCCACGATAAAATGTGTGAGCTGGCTGATGAGTATTACCATGAGGAAGCAAGCCTTCTTTTTATAAGAACTTGGATCCTGTAAAAATAGAACGTTTTGCAGAGAAATTTTATAAGTACATAACTATTTTCAAGTTTTCCGTTCGAATCAGATTATTTCGCACAGTAATCGCGTCCCGGTTCTGCATGAAATTGTAGCACGCACGTGTTTGGCGTTTAATTGTCTATTATACGTGAGGTAAAGATTAGCACAGGGATCATGATAACTAATTCTTTAAAAATAGGTACCTACATCATTTACCATTATTAGCAATCTATTTCAAGTAGCATAATAATAACTTACAGATCCACCCCTTATTATTTGTCCCGTGCTCTGTCTGTGCAGTGTAGATCTTTCCGTTATTTATATTTAGAAATAATCGCCGCCTTTGAGTTTTTAATAGTTTTAAAGTTTATGCTTATTGCTTATTGTTTATTGTTTATTGTTTATCGTTTATTGCTTATTGCTTATGCCTAGGATTAGGTATTAGCTTATGGACAAAGGTCGCTTGTATAACATTTTTTTATGTTCCCGCAGTATTGTTTTTCGACTTGCAATAACTTGCACCATTTGTTATTTATTCACTATCACCCAAATAGCGAATCTCGCTTACGTCTGTTAAATTTGTTGTGTGAAAAGTCTGTATTTGTTTTCTTGTATATGTATTTTCTTATTTTTTTTTTTTTTCACTACTGTCACCCAAATGACATTCACCGACTTACTATACCTGGCAGATCGATTGATCTTCCAGATTGCCACTACGCTTAGACCCCTCATGATAGATAATAAATAACGTGTCGATCCCGATTAGAATTAATCTATATTTATATTAAAGTTTAATACCGGGGAATGTCGCATATTATTATTTGCGGTATAAATTTGGGTAGCATCATGCGTTATTTCAATATTTATGCCAGCAGACCCAGATAGCCCATTTGTGACCTCGTGATTTATCACATGTTAATCATTTACTATTCAAGTCAAGAACAAATCTTTATTCATTTTATAATTCAGAAGATAAGTACAATGATTTAATGTTATTTGAAAAAGTTATCTACAGTTGATTGTTTTTCCCTTTCTAAACCTTTAGAACCATCCAACAATTCATCGATGTTTTGAAATGACTTTTCTCAGAAAATTGCTGAGCAAACTCGAGCGCTTTTATTTTAAATCTTGCCGTTGATAATATTGTTGGCAACAATCGCACCAGTTACCCAATGACTCAATCAAGGCATTATTACTTTTTGACAGCTTACTTTGTTAGCTGTCTAAGTTCGTCTTTTTAATTATTGCATTGTCAACATCGAAGTTAAATGCTTTGATCAATTTTTTTTATTGAACTGTTAGGACGATCTCGCTTGTACACACAGCGATCACTGTGTGCTTGCGAACATTAGTTTTTTTATAAAATCGTAGGAAGAATTGCCAAACTTTGGAACCGCATTTACAATTAAATAAAGGACATAATCAGATGTGACTATAGACAGCTGTCATTACTTATATTCTTGATCTGAGATTTCGGTGATAGGGACTATAAAAATATTTATTAGTTGTGACGATAATTTTTATATAAATGGTTTTGCACGAACTATAGGCAGATAGTGACTATAAACGGAGAACTATAGACAGTGGTTCACTGCATTTATCATAACTAAAACTTACGACAGTTATAGTAAGTAGTAGCGCGATACAAAACTCATTTACAATATACATCGTATATACAATTACTCTAAGAACATTGTATTCTTAGGATGGTCTTCCATGTTCGAGGATTTATCAAGCGACTTCTATTGCATTTATGTCATTGACAAATATTAAACTTTCTCGAAATTATGCTTTACTGTTTCAAGAAAATCTAGTTTCTTTGTTCGTATTTTCAACTATCATATCCCATGCTTCCCTAAGATTTTCTTCAACCGTACCAAAAAGTTTATTATTGCTACGTACTATCATCTGGCAGATGCACAAGATTGAATTATGTTAGCGCTTTCACAAGAATTGCAAAACTTTTTATTGGTCAAATTCAAGTCAATATCATATGAGAGCAACAAATTTTTGGGTGGTTTCAGAAAACCCAACAAGTCGATCACGACTGTGACTACTTACATTTACGCAAAATAGCCATGTGCCGATTAAGTTACTAATACTTAAATGGTCTACGCGACCCATTTAATTGCTAATAATCAGGCAAATCAAAAAAATAAACGCCTTCATCGTTTATCGTATACGCCCACTCCATTCCGGAAAAGACTAAATTTACATGTGTATGCACGTACTGCCTTGCATCATATATTCCGAAAATTGTAGACACTGTCGATTGATCAAATGTATTTGCCCCAGATCTAACAATTGTTTGGGCACATGATAAGCCTACAAGCCATTACAATATCAATTGTTCAAAACAGCCTCGATAATATATACCAACTATTCCGAAAATCGCAAGACGCACAATTAACGCAAAAGATTTAATAAAAACGACTGCCACACATCTCTTCTAACAAACATATAAAAATTTCATATCCCTTCTCTTTATTGAAAACGTAACATCTTCCTAATTCAATCAATAAGGACGTAAAATATTTTCTTGGAAATACCCCAACTTTCCTGAAATATCTATTACTATTAAACGTTTATTACTTGCCTCGATAAAAAAAAGCTATTTTCTTATTTGTATTTTTATTTTTTTGACCATTATCCATTATGTCCTTGGAAATCCGATCGATTGGAGAGGTCACCAGTTCCCAGGCTACACCCAATCTGATTGTTGTCGGGACAGAGGAGGGGTTGTTTAGTCGAAAACAAAAGTATTACGTTCAACATTCTCCAGTGGTTGAGCCAGAATTGCTATTTGTATTCGGTTTATGATGGTTATCTTTGAAGCCGTTGGGTTTGCGTATATATATCGGGAAGATAGTCTGCGCGTTTCCACACGTATGCTAAACTTTTACGGCTATGCAACAGGGATAAATGTGACGTGTTAATTGGTTTGCTTTTACGTCTATAGCGGCGCGTTAATTCTATAATGTGTAATTTTGAATCGGAAGGTATAACTTAGTATACTAGTATAAATGTCTTCGTTTTATGTCTCAAAGTTATAATGTTAGAATGTGTAAAGATGAACGTGATGTATTAATTGGTTCGTGCGTTAATTATATAATGCGTAATTGTTAGAGAACAAAGTGAGATATACGTTATTGTTTAAAGTTCTATCTCGCAATGTTACCATGTTTAATTATGTCTATTACTTATAGCAAATACTGTATATGATTAGTATTTATTTCTTCTGCGTCTTCACTTTGATGGGGGTTTATTATAGAATTTTGGTTTACCGCTAAACAGAATGTTAATATTACTTGGCCGAAATTGGTGTTGTATTACGATATTTATGTGTGGTTAGTCGAATAGCGTCATTCTTGGATTTGGTCCATTATCACGTTACAATAATTCCCATGCACCAATAAATTACATTTGAATGAAATACTGTGGCGCAATTTTATAAAGACGGGTCGTACAAAATTCCCCCGAATATTAATAATAATATGTTACACAACATACATGACACAAACAATCGATCGATCAACTCAAGCCAAGTTATCATTTCAAAATGACTAACTTAATTGATATAGTTGACCTGACTTCAGATCTTTCATCGGATTATGAAAAGCTTTATGAAGCAACAAATATACAGATGTTTCGATCAATGTTGGAAGAGAGCCAAACAATAAAATCCTTCTTGCTCATGCAGTGGTATTGTGCACGAGAAGCACATATTTTGAAAAGATGATGGTTGAAAATACGGGAGAGTTTCAACGGACAGTTATGACTTTCGAAGATGTAGCATCCGAAGTCTTTGAAATTTTACTTAGGTAAATGTTTATTAACTTAAAACGCTAAACAATACATTTATTTCGCAATGATTGCTTACTCAACCGATTTACCATAAATTTACTGTGATCATAGATTCATTTACACAGGAAAAGTGACTTACGATTCAAGGGAAGTCATCAACTGGATCAGTCTTTTAGATGTCGCTTGCAGATTCGAATTAGATAACCTTGTTGTCAAAGTTGGAGACTATTTGATTCGTCACCAGAAGGAATGGGTACAATGCAACATTTTTGCAGTCCACAAATGTGCCTTATCCTCAAGTCTATTAAACAAGTTGTTAAATTATTGCAACAACATTATGATATCATCTCCAGAGATTATTTTCAAGCCTGATAATTTGGCAAATCTACCAAAAGAGACCTTGGTTACTCTTCTCAAACATGATGAACTTAATATGAAAGAAATTGATATTTGGACATCAGTAATACAATGGGCTACAAATCAAGTTCCAGGACTCGTAAATGAACCGGACAGCTGGTCATCTGAAGATGTTACTAAAGTCAGAGCAATTATATCTGACTATATTCAACATATAAGGTTTTTCAATATTTCGTCTGAAGATTTTCAGGAGAAAATTGTTCCATATGATGAGTTATTGACAAAAGATTTGCGGCATGATATGGTTTTTTATCATATGAACAAAAATTACAAACCAAAATCAATAGTTTTACCCCCAAGGAAAGGTCAAGCAATTTATGATAATAATCATAAGACTAAGACTAATGAAGAATACAAAACTCTTAAGAGTAATGCTGATATTGACTCAGTTATCATTAATGAACAGCAAGCAGCATGGATTGCTCAAAAGATAATGAAATCAATGAAGAGAAACCGAAAAAGTCAAACAGCATCTGGGAAGAATAGCTGTTTCTATAAATTTACCCTACTTTATAGACACAGCAGGGATGGTAATACACCTGAAAACTTTCGACAAATGTGTGCTGAGAAGGGGCCCACAGTAGCTGTTGGGAAAGTGTTGAATACAGGAGAAATACTTGGTGGATACAATCCAATTGCTTGGCATGAACATGCTTCCACTT